CTCTCTCCTCTCTTCTCTCTCTCCCTCTCTCCTCTCTCCCTCTCTCCTTTCTCCCCTGTCTCCCCTCCCCTCCCTCCTCTCCCTCCCCTCCCTCCCCCTCCCTCTTTCTCTCCTCCCCACTCTTTCCCTGAGCACCTGTTGCTCAGCCAGCGGCGCCCTTTGGCCCCAGGGTGGCTGACACAGTGTGTAGGTCCCGGCAGCCAGAGCGGGGCTGAGGGCTGATTTGGGTTCTGTAACTCGGCGTGTCTGGCGGAGGAGGGGTGAGTCAGGAGGGTGCCTGAGAGACGCTAGTAGAGCTGTAGCTGGCTCCGACCCACCCCGATTGATTTCCTGGTGGGTGGAATGCGTTTGCTCCTGACACCGGCTGGAGGAGGAGCTGCAGTAACAAATCGCTAGCTGTCCGCGTGGAGTGTGTCGGCCAGGGTCTCCTCCCGCTGCTGCTGCGCCTACGGGGTGCGTCCAGCCGGCCCCGCAGGGGTCTCAGCCCCGGCGCTGGGAGGAGAGCTCCCCCCCCTGCTAGCTGTCCAGTGCCCGCCCTGTGAGGCCAGCCCACACTAGCTGTCCAGTGCCCGCCCTGTGAGGCCTGCCCACACTAGCTGTCCAGTGCCCACCCTGTGAGGCCAGCCCACACTAGCTGTCCAGTGCCCGCCCTGTGAGGCCTGGCCCCGCCCAGGTGACCACAGGCGGGACTCCAAATCCCGCTTTTTTTCTTTTTATACACGTAGCAGCAGAGACACCAGGAGCAGGGCACGTGGCCTTGTGAACACATGGTCCCACCGCAGAGGGCGAGGCAGGCGCTCCCGACCGCTCCGGAAGCGATTAGCCCGGGTAGAGCCGGGCGCCCAGAGAGTTGTCCTGAGAGAGGGCCTAGAATCCAAGAGGGGGGTGGTCAAGGGAAGAGCATGCTGGGAAAAGAGTGATGTGTGCAAACATCCAGAAGTGGGGGGGGAGCACGTGGGGCCCGAGGGAGGGCGTTGAGTCCCGAGGCTGGGGGTACGGAGGGGTCACGGCGGCCGGCTCCCCAGGGCAGAGCCACTCTGAGGGTGCAGGGCGGTGTGGGCCCGAGAGGCGGGACTGGGTGGCGGAGCGGGCTGTAGATCACGGAACAAACCCAGGAGGGAACGACTTGGGGAGGAAGGATTTATCTGGCCTGTGGTTTGAGGGTTCAGCTATGGAGGTGGGGGGGCTGCAGTGGGGGGTGGGGGAGGCCTCAGCAGAGGCCCCTGGCGAGGTGGGCAGGTCTGTGTGGATGTGGTGCTCAGCCGCACTTTCCTGAGGAGCCGGGAACCAGTTGGAAGCTCACCGTGCGGCTGTTAGTCCACAGAGGACAGACACCCCGGCCACGGGCTCCATGCTGTTATCCCAGAGCCTTGTTGATGTCTTCTCCATGGGTCAGGACGTTGCTACAAAGGCATGTCAGACTTCACAAGGGCCCCGGCCACACCTGCCATAGGTGGAAATGTCTCAGAGAAGGAGGAGCCGAGGCCGGAGACCTCCCGTGCCCTCTGCAGGCGCCGGGTGGGGCTTCGCAGATCACCTCGCTGGGGCTCCGGTTGCAGTCGGGTGTGTCACCAGAGGCCGGTTTGCTGGGTCTCATTGCTGGGCCTGGGGAGACCCGGGACCGTCTGTGTGTGTGTGTTGGCTTGACAGTCGGGCAGCCGTTTACAGATGCTGCTCTCTGAGACCTTCCAGTCCCATCACAGATGACAGAAATTGTTTCAGCTCAGAGCAGAGGAGCCAGCCGCTTCTGAGAAATCATGACTAAAGAGAAGACAAAGTACTTTCTGAAAAAAAGCAGGCCACCTGATTAATGGCTTTCTCTGTGAAACTCTCTGATTCCCAGAACCCAGAGCCTCCATCTTGAAGGGTGCTGGCATGGCTGAGTCAGAAAGCTGACGCCTTTCAGGTGGACAGACTGCCACTCCTCATGGAGCCTGGTCTACAACGCTGAAAACATCCATGTCATGCAATCCACAAATACATGCCATGCAATCCACACATCCACATCATGCAATCACACACATCCACATCATGCAATCACACAACCACATCATGCAATCACACACATCCACATCATGCAATCACACATGCACATCATGCAATCACACATGCACATCATGCAATCACACACAAGCACATCATGCAATCACATGCACATCATGCAATCACACATCCACATCATGCAATCACACACATGCACATCATGCAATCACACATCCACCTCATGCAATCACACACATGCACATCATGCAATCACACATCCACATCATGCAATCAGACACATGCACATCATGCAATCACACATCCACATCATGCAATCACACACAAGCACATCATGCAATCACACACATGCACATCATGCAATCACACATCCACATCATGCAATCACACACATCCACATCATGCAATCACACATGCACATCATGCAATCACACATCCACATCATGCAATCACACATGCACACCATGCAATCACACATCCACATCACGCAATCACACATCCATGCCATGCAACCACACGCACATAATGTAGTCCACATATCCACTCAGTCCATAATCCATACCATGCAATCCACACGTCCATGTCCTACAATCTCAGAATTTTGGAGTCTCAACCATCCTTCAGTCCAGCGCCACGGGTGACCCACTGCCCCTGCTGTTTCTGTGGAAGGCTGTGTGCACTGGGGTGGAGGGGCTGGGTGGTGGGATTTTAAGTCGGTCCGGCCACTTTTCAAGGTGGTCAGTGCTGTCTAGGATCTATCGGCACCTTTCCCTGGGACAGTGGTTGGTGGAGAGGGGACTGCGGTGAATGTCTGACCTGGCTCCTCAGAGAAGGAGCTCTGTAGGAGAACCCAGCCACAGCTCCACCGTGCCACTTGACGGTCACGGAGCCCTGGGGAGGTGGAGGCCGTGATGGGTGAGAGGGGAGGAGTGGCCGCGGCACAGGGGCCTTCTCTGCACAACTCTGCTGCCTGCCAATGTGCTGTAGCTGTGCCCCCCGCCTCCCCCAATGCGCTGTAGCTGTGCCCCCCGCCTCCCCCAGTGCGCTGTAGCTGTGCCCCCCGCCTCCCCCAATGCGCTGTAGCTGTGCCCCCCCGCCTCCCCCAATGCGCTGTAGCTGTGCCCCCCCGCCTCCCCCAATGCGCTGTAGCTGTGCCCCCCCGCCTCCCCCAGTGCGCTGTAGCTGTGCCCCCCCCCCGCCTCCCCCAGTGCGCTGTAGCTGTGCCCCCTGCCCTCCCCCCCTGGCCCTGACCTGTGTCCATCACGCAGCCAACGCCCAATGCGCTGTAGCTGTGCCCCCTGCCTCCCCCCTGGCCCTGACCTGTGTCCATCACGCAGCCAACGCCCAGTGGGCGATGGTGGAGAGGATGAGGGAGGCTGGGCTCATGGACTGTCGGGTAGGGGCGGGACCATGTGCAGGGCCGCGGGCCGGTGTCTACCTCCTTCACCTCCTGACCTCAGCCCACAGCGGGAGAGGGTTCAGAGCTGCAGTGTGGAGTCACACACGGCTGTCCCAACCCCCAGGACATTGTCATCACTTTCTTGTTTGTTTGTTTTTTTGTCGTCTGTGGTTTTTTTTTTTTTTTTTGGTGCTGGGGATTGAAACCTCCCCCCATTCCCTCCTCTTCCTCCCCTTTCCCTCCTCCTCCTCTTCCTCCCCTTTCCCTCCTCCTCCTCTTCCTCCCCTTTCCCTCCTCCTCCTCCTCTTCCTCCCCTTTCCCTCCTCCTCCTCCTCTTCCTCCCCTTTCCCTCCTCCTCCTCTTCCTCCCCTTTCCCTCCTCCTCCTCTTCCTCCCCTTCCCTCCTCCTCCTTTCCCTCCTCCTCCTTTCCCTCCTCCTCCTCTCCCCACTCTCTCCCTCTACCCCATCTCCCTCTACCCCATCTCCCTCTCTTCCTCCCCTTTCCCTCCTCCTCCTCTTCCTCCCCTTTCCCTCCTCCCCTTTCCCTCTTCCTCCTCTTCCCCTTTCCCTCCTCCTCTTCCTCCCCTTTCCCTCCTCCTTCTCTCCCTCTTCCTCCTCTCCCTCCCTCTCTCCCTCTACCCCCTCTCCTTCTACCCCATCTCCCTCTCTTCCTTCTCTTTTCCCTCTTCCTACTCCTCCTCTTCTGCCTCCCGCTCTTCCTCCTCCTCTTCCTCTACCCCATCTTTCTCCTCGTCTTCCTCTTCCTCCTCCTCTCCCCCCTCTCTCGCCTTCCCTCTCTCCCCCCTTTTCCTTCCTCCTCCACTTGTTGGCAGTACTGTGGTTTTGAAGTCACGGCCTCACACTTGTCGATCAGGCTCTGTGCCGCCGCTGAGTTAGAGTTAGTGTGGGTTTCAAATCCCCCTTGCCTGAGTCTCGTTTGTCTCACACGCACACTCCACTCAGTTCACGTTTTACACCTACGTATCACTAGTTGTGTCTGGGGAGTGTGGATTCCAGAGGGACCAGAATTGTGACCAAGATCTCAAGAGAAATCGTAACCTAATCTTCGATATTTAAAACTTCTACAAGGAGAACACGTTTGTGAATTGTTCCCTTAATGAACAGTTTCCATATCCTCGTATTATGTAATTTACACGTCAGATGGCAGAGCAGATTTGAGATTCTAAACAGATTCTAGATGTATAACCACACCCATGAACAGTCGGCACTTAGAGGTAGTTGTGTGTAATTGTAATAAGAGCACTGAGCTAGAATGGTGAGAGAAGTAAGCGTGCCCACATGCCACGTGCCCGTCCCCCACACGCCGCTGCCCGTGCCGGCCCCCACACGCCGCTGCCCGTGCCGGCCCCCACACGCCGCTGCCCGTGCCCGCCCCCACACGCCGCGTGCCCGCCCCCACACGCCGCGTGCCCGCCCCCACATGCTGCTGCCCGTGCCAGCCCCCACACGCCGCGTGCCCGCCCCCACACGCCGCTGCCCGTGCCCGCCCCCCACACGCCGCATGCCCACCCCCCACACACTGCTGCCCGTGCCCCCGTCCCACACACCATGTGTTCCCCCCCCCCCGTATCCCCCGCAGAGTGCCGGGACATCCTGCTTCCGGTCATCACGAAGGAGCTGAAGGAGCTCCTGCAGCAAAGGGACGAGGGGCACCAGGCCCTGGAGAAGAAGCACTGCGTGGAGCTCCTGAACAGCCTCCTGGAGGTGCTGAGCGGCCAGGACCCGGTGAGTGCCAGCACCTTCACCCAGCCGTGAAACGGGGCTGGGGCGGCCGCGGCGGGGGTGACGCCGGGTCACCCTGTGTCTGGTGGGCTGGGTGTGGGCAAGGGCTGGCTCTGCTTACCCAGCCCTGCGTGCAGGGATGCAGGGTGGAGGGGATCTCACACCTGACGTCCGCCTGGGACCTGGGACCTGGGACCTGGGACCTGGGACCCGGGACCTGGGACTCGGGACCGTCTCTGCCGTTTCCTCCAGAGAGGGAAGGTTTGTAATCTTCCTGAACGAGCAGGTGCCCAGGCCCGATCTGGAGGATGGGGAGGAGGGGTGGGGGAGGACAGGGAGCCGGTGTGTGCAGGGTCGTCTCTGGAAACCGCGGGGCTGGGGGCAAAGGCCGGGCTTCCTGAGTGCAGAATCATCGGCAGGAAGCAAGGGCAGATGGGTTGAGTTGGCCCAGGCCCGCATTTCTTCGGCTGTAAGTCCACACAGGGTCTGTCCTTCCCTGTGCCTGGTTCCAGAAGGCTTTGAAGACACCATCAACCAGTAAATCTTCTCTAAGCATTTGTGGAAGCAATGCCCCTGTTTCCCCCCCGCCCCGCGCCCCCTCCTCCTCCCTAGAACACCCTCCCTAGAGCTTTCTGGAAGCCTGTGTGGGTGACTTGCTAGCGTTAGACAGTGAGGAATGGTATTCTGTGGCTCGGATCCTGTGGTCAGCCACTCGTGCCCAGTTCCTGTGTGTGGTCTCTCTGTCGTCTCTTCCTTCCTCTCCCCACTGCCCGCAGTAAGACACAGCTTCTCCTGCGGCTGGGTGGGTGTGGTGGCTCTGATCATGCGCTTGTCCATTCGCGGTGAGGCGGGTGGATGCGGAGGTGTGTGCTGGGCACGGGGGGACTAAGCTGACACCAGGTCTGAGCTGTTCAGACACCTGAGTCCCTGAGCAGGAATGGGATGCCACCGGGGCCAGTTTCAGTCTTTGAAGCCCGGTTTCACGTCCAGAATGACCCGGGGTCATACATAAATTACTTTCTGGTTACGGATATCAGTTATATGGGAAAAGTAAATGAATTTTCATGTGTAGGCTTGGGTGGCAGGTGTAAGATGTCTCATGATGTGGATGAAAACGCTCCCCTCTCCCCCCTCCCTTCCCCTCTCCCCTCTCCCCTCCTCTCTCCCCTCTCCCCTCTCCCCTCTCCCCTCTCCCCTTTCCCCTCTCTCTTCCCCTCTCCCCTCTCCCCTCCTCTCTCCCCTCTCCCCTCTTCCCAGGGCCAATCGATTGTGAATCACTTCCGATCTCGAGCACTTGGAAGAGGACAGTCAGTCTATACTGTATCTAGGTGCATTGTGAGGGTGCTGGAGCTATATAGGAGTGTACATGTGTGCACACGTGTGTATTGGTGCATGTGTGCAAGCATGCATGTGCAGGCACACACACGTGTGCATGGGTATGTGCATGATCTACATGCACACATGTGTGCACGTGGGTGTGTGGCATGCATGTGTGTGCATGTGCATGGTTGTGCATATCTGCATGCATGCTTTGCATGCGTGTTTGTGCCCGTGTGAGCAACTGTCTTTGTGGGATGAATTATTCTCGTCTGCCGTCACAGCTGCTGAGTTGGGCGGGGGATGCTGTCCCTCCCAGGGACCTCCTTTGGGCCCAACCGCTCCGCCTCTGCTCTGTCTCTGCTCCTGTCTGTCTGTCTCTGTCTTTCTTCTCAACAGCTTCTCCTTTGAGGTATAGGACTCACTCCATAGCCATGATCACTTTGAACCACGCTGAAAAGCACAAGTCCAGAAGCATCCGACCTGAGTCCCTCTGGGCCTCGGGCCTGCAGGTTCTCAGTACTGATCACCAGCCCTTCACAAGGCAGCTGTGGGGAGGCCCCGTTCCCCACGTCCTCCTGGGAGGAGGGCAGCGGGCCAGAAGGCGACTTGGGGAGAGGCCCAGGCCGGGAGCAGGGGAGCAGCCCTGGAGTCACGGCCCTCCCTGGAGAGCGGGTTGGGGGTTTGGACGCAGGCAGCCCACACGGTGACTGACAAGCACCGCCGTATGGGGACACAGTGGCACAGGGACCGTCCTCTTTTCTTCGGTATTTACAGGAAATGGAGGACCAGCTGGGCGAGTTCTCAGTTCTTTGCCTTCTTAATTTAAGAGCCCACTCCAGACTGTAAAGCTGAGCACTTTCAAATCTGCGTTTAATAAACCACACGATGGCAAAGCCTCTGGCACATTTGTCTACTCAAAGATCCATTATCTTTTGGTAGTGGCCACATGGCGTGGGCAGAGGCTTCTCAAATTCAGCCGGCTGGCATGGGCTGCTCGGGTCCCACAGGCCCCAGACACCAGCCAGCCAGCCGTGAGTCCCCGGTTCCCGTAAACCCCACAACACACCGCCTTCCAGGGGGTCTCACGAGGAGAGAGGGCCCCGGGGTGCAGGCTTGGCGGGGATATTTATCTCAATAAGACAAGATAAAGATGGTAGAGACTGGGAAGAGACAGAGAACTCCCCCCATCAGGCCGTGGGTGGGAAGCGCTCCAGCCATTTTTTTTGTGGTTTTCTTTCTAAGCTACTGTATTTCTGGGGCATTTCATGCCGAATTCCTATCTAGACACCTGGTTGAGTTACCTAGCAACCCCTGATCATTACAGACCCTGCGTGCCTGTGGCTCTGTCCCAACGCGGGCCCCGGACAGACCCGCTGTCTCTCCGGTTCTTGTGGCTTCAGGCCTGGTTCTGTTGGAATGTCTGAGCGTGGTCCTTTATAATTCCTCATTTCCTGGTCACCTTTACCTGTCTACCCCGCCTCATGCCATTTCTCAGAATTAGAATTCTGGATGAAAACAAAACAAGACTCGCAGAATCCCGGTTTTCCCCGCCGGCCGTTCGTAGCTGGCAGCAGCCCGGTGGGTTATTCCTGGCTCCTAGCTGGCACCGGGCTGCTGCCCCGCCGTCCCCAGGCCCTGCCAGCCTCAGCCCCGCTTAGCAATGACGGCCGCCGGACACGTCCGGGGTGGGGAGGGGCGTGCGTCCCAAAGATGGGGCCGGTGCTGATGGCAGTTACCACGGTTCAGGTAATATCCCAGCCCCTTCCAGGTGCTCTTCCCGTGAGAGGTGAGGGGTAGATGCCTGATGCTGCCTCCATTCGCGTTTCCTCCCTCTCCATCCAAGAGGTCATTCAGCGCTGGCAGGCGTGCCAGGGAGGCTGGCGGAGACGAGTGTGTCTCCCGCGCACACCGGCGCTGGACAGTGCTCCCAGCATCCTCCAGTGCTGTCCTCTTGGGATTCACCGTGTCACAGATGCTCTAACCACCACGACAGGGGCTCTGGGAGCCACTGACTTTGGAAGCCCGGATGGATTCGTCTCTGATGCAGCCGGCTCATTCTGCGGCTGCGCGGACGGCCTGTCTCCGGGAAGCTTGACGAAGCCATCTCTCTTGACGGAAGCCCCTCTTCCCCGGCTGCCGGGCGGCGTTTCCAGGCGTCCCCTGCGTAGGGCCGAGCCTGCTCTCACTTGTCTTCTGTGTTTCCACACTGCCTGGGCGCGGGGCCGACGCTCAATAATCAATCTCCGTGGTCCGATTGATCCTCTCGTCTTCAATTAGTCTCCTTTCTAGAAAGACATGCTGACACTAATTTTATTGTATTTCATGTTTGTACTCAGCAGAATCTAATGAGAAAGGCAGGTGGGCGGTGTCCGCACTGAAATCCCGCTGCAGAGCGGCAGGTGGCTTTGGCTTTGGTGTTATTAAAGTTGCCCGTGTGTGGCCCCCCCCCGTACCCTCCACCCCCACGGCGGGCGTGTCCCTGGGGAACGATGCACCGGGTGGTCACGGTCACCGTCAAAGCCTCGGGCCAGCCTGTGTGGACAGGCCTCGTTGCCCACGGCGCGGGTCGGACGCTGGGATTCAGATGGGAGGCGTTCGTCTGCTCCTTATGGCCTGCAGAGTTAACGGACGCGGCCCAGGCCACAGCGCAGACCCCGACCGCACCGGCTGGGCTGTGCCTGGCGCTGTCCCAGGAGTTGAAGGACAGCCTCTGTCTCATTCGCTGCCCACCCTAACGGACAGCCGGGCCGGCACAGACGAGCAGCCCATAGCTATCCGTGGCACAGACGGCGGGAGGTGAGAAGCCGGCTCTGCGGGCGCCGGGCGAGGGCACTTTGCTTCCCTGTCCCGGGAGCGGCTGTGGAATAAGCCACAGCTGCTTCGCTGCCGCCGTCCCTCCCGTCAGTCAGAGGTAGGGCTGCACGGCGGAGAGCCGCGCTGAGCTCGCATGCTGTCACAGTCGGTGCTGCCATCCCAGCCGGCTTTGCGTACGTCCCCGCCGCAGGAGGTGATGATGGAAAGCCGGGGCGTAGGGACTCTGGGGTGCTGACCTGGGAGTCAGTCGACCCGAGTGGAAGTTCAGTGCTTCTCCCTATGAACAGAGCCGGTCTCGACGAGCGGAGGGACGTGTTCCTGTCCGGGCGTAAGGAATTAGAAGCTTCAGGGAAGGGCAGTTGTAACCGTCCCCAAACACCTCCATACACTAGCTACGTATCCGCGTGAACTCTCTCCTGGAAGACAAGTCTCGGTGCACAACACCGTGTGGTGGAAGGGGGGAGAAAGCAGGTGCGAGGAGGAAGGATGGACGGACAGAGCCCCGTGCGTCACTGGCCTGTGGAGGACACGCAGCCCGGGGCGCTGGTATTTTGTGTGTCGCTCCGCGGAGTGTGAAGAAAGGAGCAGATCCAGACAGCGGAGAGAGGAGCGATGCGGAAGTTATTCTGGATGGAGGAGCAGCAGCTACAACTTCCCGAGGTACCCGATTCACCCCGAGTCTCAGGACACCAGCAGCAGATGCCGCCTGCATTCAAAGAAGCCAGCGCTGGATCCGAGGACCCGGCCGGGGCTTGGCACGGGATGAGTTGATTACAGCAATCAGCAAGGCTGGGCTGTCACGGCTCGAGAGCACCGGGCGGCTGAGCCTCCCACGGAGAGCTTTCCTGCTCGCTGGCAGAATTCTGGGATTGAAAACGGGGGTGCGGGATACGCTATGGAGACAGAAAATGAGGGGGCCTGTCTGTTCCTCAGCCAGAAAGCCCAAGACCAGACGGAAATTCACTTCTACCTCTGCCAAAATGATTATGGATGAAGTGGGAGGTGCGGCCCACCTTCCCAAGCAGGAGGCTGCTGGGAGGAGGGAGCCTTGGAACGTACTGGAGTCATCGGCGACGGGCGCTGGGAAAAATCCCACCAATTTTGTACGATGGTTATCAGGATGCACCGCACACTGTGGGGTCTAGAGAAGGGGACATCCCTCAGAATGAGAAGAAAATACCCTTTGTTCTAGAAGGCTCTGAGGTGTGGGCACCGTGGGGAGGGCCACAGGGGAGCTGGCGGCCGGCGGGGGCCGCAGCCGGGTCCCCTCGGCAGGGTGCGGACGTTGGTGTGCCAGGACGGACCGCACGGCGGCACATCCGCCCCTCGGGTTCTCAGCCCCTCTCCGGCTGAGCTAACCACGTGACCGAGCCGGTCAGGTGCCGCAGACTGCACCAGACCTGGTGTTCTCAACCCGAAGGTCCTGGCCTCAAAGTCCAAACCAGCCCTTACCACCACCCCATGCCGAGGATGGCTGCTGGAGTTTCGTGTGTGTGTGTGTGTGTGTGTGCACACGCACGTGTGCGTGCTGGTCCTGGAGGTTGAACTTGGGGCCGGGGCGCTGTCCCTGAGCTTTTTCACTCAAGTCTGGTGCTCTACCACTTGGCCCACAGTGCCACTTCTGGCCTTTGGTTGGGTAATTGGAGATAAGAGTCTCCTCAATTTTCCTGGCCCAGGCTGGCTTTGAACTGTGATCCTCAGATCTCAGCCTCCGGGGCTGCTAGGATTATGGGTATGAGCCGATGGTGCCTGGCCAACAAGTAGAGTTTCTTGATACACACACAGCCAAGGGTGGGCCAGGGTGCGGGTGTGAGGGTGTGAGGTGACAGGGTGAAGCAATGTGGGTGACGTGGTAGCAGTGGTGGTGATGTCATAGCAGTTGTGATGATGTCATCGCAGTGATGGTGTCATAGCGGTGGTGGTGATGTCACAGCAATGGTGATATCACAGCAATGGTGATGATGTCGTATCAGTAGTGATGATGTCATAGCACTGCTGATGTAAGAGCGGTTATGATGTAACAGCCGTTGTGATGATGTCATAGCAGTGGTGATGTCATAGTGGTGGTGATGTCATAGCAGTTGTGATGATGTCATAGCAGTGATGATGTCATAGCGGCGGTGGTGATGTCACAGCGATGGTGATGATGTCATATCAGTGGTGATGATGTCATAGCACTGCTGATGTAAGAGTGGTTATGATGCAACAGCAGTTGTGGTGATGTCATAGTGGTGGTGACCAGGGGTCTCAGCAGAGGCGACGGCGATGGTGTTGGCGGTCACGGCGACGGTGTTGGCGGTCACGGCGATGGTGTTGGTGGTCACCGTGTCCCGGCACGGTCGTCTGTGTTGGCCCTGCGGTCACGCCGATGTCCCCTGTCCTGTGTTGCAGGCCTTCACCTACCACCACATCCAAGAGATCATGGTGCAGCTGCTGCGCACGGTGAACCAGACCGTCATCGCCATGGGCCGAGACCCACGCTCTGATCGTGAGTAGCCGCGTCTCTCTCCTCACGCGTGCGTGCGTGCGCACACGCCCCTCGGACCCGGCCCGGGGCTGGTCGGTGCGCCACTGTTCGGTTTTGGAATGGGGGCCCTGATGCTTCCCCTCCGAGTCAGGGAGGCGGCGCCAGCTCCGGGCGTCTAGACGGACGAGGCCAAGGACTCGTCTGAGGTCCAGGCCCCCCCTGTCCCCCCCTGCTGGCCGGCAGGGGTGGGGTGCCTCTGGGAAGGACCGATGAGGGAGAGGGCTTTCTGTAAGGGAATGGGAGGTAGAATGTTCCGGAGGCATGTCCACGAGGAACCTTGGCTTCTCGCCCAGGGTCAGTGCTCCCCAGCTCTCTGAGTGACTTGGCCGTGTGACCACTAGACCTGTGAGGTCGTTCGGGGTCACAGGCGTGCGTGGGGTCGCTTTCCGCACGGACACTCTTTCTGGGGCCCGGAAGGTTCCTGCGCCCGGTTTCTCTGCCCCTCCCCAGACGCAGAACCTACCTCTCACCCTTCGCCGGGTTCCCCTGGCTTCAAGCGAGGGCCACACGCGGAGAAGCTGAGAGCACCGAGTCTCCAGCACCCTCTGTGTGTCGGCCCGCGTGGGTCTCGGCCTGGCGGCGGCCCCAGCCTCGGCCACGTGGGTCTCTGCCCGGCAGCGGCGGCAGCCGTTCCGTTACGCGTTCCCCCCACACACACGGATGTGCTTCCCCTCGCGGTCCTGGGTGTCGGAGGCCTGGGCTCTCGTTTTGTCCTGCCCACCCGAGGCTGTGTGGCCCCCTCCCCCTCCCCCGGCGCCTCCCCTCCCCCCTCCCCCGGCGCCTCCCCTCCCCCTCCCCCGGCGCCTCCCCCTCCCCCCTCCCCCGGCGCGCCCCCCCCCCCCCCCCCCCGCGCCTCCACGCAGCTGTAACCCCCAGCCTCGCTTCTCTATTCCTCTCCGTGCTCTCGCCTCCCGGTTCTCGCCCTGCTCTCCAGCTGGCCTGGCGGGTGGGTTTGCAGTGTGGAGCATAGCGTGCAGCAGCCAGTCCCGGGGTTAGAGCCACCGGGGGCTCATCATGGCTCCTGCACTGGGGAAAGGGACGGAGGACCCGGCTTTCCCTCAGCCATTCTGCAGTGTCACCCGAGCGGCTTGTGGGAGCGATGGGTGGGGGCGGGGAGGCGGGGCGTGAGGCGCTGGAGCCCGGCCGGGGTGGGCTGAGGCCGGTGGCTGGGCAGGAACGGGAGGAAAAGCCCAACAGCACCTCCCGAAGCCGATACGGCTTCAAGCGGAATTAACGGAAGCGCCGTTGGGATGAAACTACTCAGGGGTCGGGGTCTCCGTCTTAGTGCGGAGCGCCACGATTCATTTCAGGTTGAACTCTGACAAGGAGGAAAGATTCCCCACTGCACCGTCGTTTCTAATTTTCCAGATGTGACTGTTATTGGTTAGTTTCCGTTGCCGGGGAATATCGGACCATCAGCGTTCATGGTAAACACCAGGCAGAGCCCGTGCGTGGCCCGGCCGGGGGGGGGGGGGGGGGGCGGCAGCCCGGAGTCACCTCACGGCCCGTGTGAGACTCCACCGGGCCCTTTCCCACCCGCGGCGGTCACCACACGGCGTCAACCATGACCAAAATGGTAGGAGCCACCCAGGCACCCCGGTGTTCACCGCATTGCCATCACGCCACCCAGGAGGCTGAGATCTGAGGATCATGGTTTGAAGCCAGCCCGGCAGGAAAATCCATGAGACTCAGGAGTCCGAGTACCGATAAAAATCCAGAAATGGGATGCGGCACTGTGGCACAAGTGCTGGAGCACCAGCCTTGAGCAGAAAAAGCTCAGAGACGGCGCCCAAGCTGGGTGAAGCCCCTGGACTGGCAGGCACGCGCACACATACACACACACGCACACGCATGCACGCACACTCACACACGCACGCACACACATGCACACACGCTCACACACGCACGCACACACACGCCCACACGCCCACACACGCTCACACACGCACACACATGCACGCACGCTCACACACGCACGCACACACACGCACACACACGCACACACACGCACACACACGCACACACACACACGCACACGCATGCACGCACACTCACACACGCACATACACTGCACGGGCCATACAGCTGGCGGCCAGCTGGCTGAGCTCAGCCCTCACACATGCATGCATGCACACACACACACATGCACGCACGCTCACACACACACACTCACACGCATGCACGCACACTCACGCACATACACTGCACGGGCCATACAGCTGGCGGCCAGCTGGCTGAGCTCAGCCCTCACACATGCATGCATGCACACACACACATGCACATACATGCACGCACGCTCACACACGCACATACACCTGCACGGGCCATACAGCTGGTGGCCAGCTGGCTGAGCTCAGCCCTCACACATGCATGCACACACACACACATGCATGCATGCTCACACACGCACATACACCTGCACGGACCATACAGCTGGCGGCCAGCTGGCTGAGCTCAGCCCTCACACATGCATGCATGCACACACACACACATGCATGCACACTCACACACGCACATACACCTGCACGGACCGTACAGCTGGCGGCCAGCTGGCTGAGCTCAGCCCTCACACATGCATGTATGCGCACACACATACATGCACGCACGCTCACACACGCACACACACCTGCATGGTCCACACGGCTGGCAGCCAGCTGGCTGAGCTCAGCCCTCACACATGCACACACACTCACACATGCACATGCATGCACGCTCACACATGCACATACACATGCATGCACGCTCACACATGCACATACACCTGCAAGGACCATACAGCTGGCGGCCAGCTGGCTGAGCTCAGCCCTCACACATGCATGTATGCGCGCGCACACACACATGCACGCACGCTCACACACACATACGTGCACACACACTCACACACGCACACACACCTGCACGGTCCATACAGCCGGCGTCCAGCTGGCTGAGCTCAGTCTTCTGTAGTCATCATTTGCTGGACGTGACGGCCGACTCGTTCGCAGTCCACTCGCCTGGACCGTGAATGTGCATGGTAACAAACAAGCCAAAGGGAATCTAACAAAAGCCAAAGGCAACGAAGCAAAACAAACCCCAAACCACCACCAAATCCGCTTCTAGCACATGGCCTTTTTCCTCCCCGGCACAGGGTGGTAAAAGGGTATGTGGGGTCGGGATCCGGCTGTGTGTTCTTTTCGTAGAGAGCTGGGCCCAGGGGCCTTGGCCTCTCTCGGTGGTTTTCCGCACAATGAACTGCAGTCCTGCCGCCACCCTTCCCCTCCCCCCCTGCTTCACTGGTTTCTGCACACATTTCCTCCCTCTCCCTCCTCCCACCCACGCTCCCGAAACCCAGAATGGTCCATGGTCGATTGGCCATGGCTGGAGTAGGACGGTGTGGAGGAGATGGGAAGGCGGGCTGGTGGATTAGTGATGTCTGTCACCCTGCGGGGTGGGTGGCCGTCTCCCAGCTCATCCACCCTGTCCTCTGGCCGTCTTGGTCTCTCTAAGAGGCTGGGATGGAAGATGATGGAAGTCGCGGAGACGGTTTAGCCGGGAGTGAGGTGCGCCTTGGCCTTACGAGCCGTGAGAGGTGGCGCGGCCTGTGTCAGGAGTGCACGCCGGCCGTCCACGCACGGCGCTGACCGCCTCTCCCGGCGGGCTGGGAAATGATGTGCAGTCACAAAGCACACCCCCCCCGACACCGGCCGGCGTGCCTGTCCGGAGCGCAGAGCTCCCTTCCAGAAGGGCACCGTGCGGCCTTGTCGCTGGTGGAGAGACAGTGGCTCAGGGGCCAGCGTGACCCCTGGCTCCCCATCCCTGCTCCTGCCCCGGCCTCTCCCCCATCCCCGCCTCTCTCCCGCCTCCCATCCCAGCCTCCGCCCAACCCCAGCGGCCTCTCCCCCATCCCCACCTCCCCCCCGCCTCCCATCCCCGCCTCTCCCCCGCCTCCCATCCCAGCCTCCCCCCCCCCCCGCCTCCCATCCCCGCCTCCCCCCCCCCCGCCTCCCATCCCAGCCTCCCTCCGACCCCAGCGGCCTCTCCCCCATCCCCACCTCCCCCCCGCCTCCCATCCCAGGCCTCCCCCCGACCCCAGCGGCCTCTCCCCCATCCCCACCTCCCCCCCCCCGCCTCCCATCCCAGCCTCCCCCCCAACCCAGCGGCCTCTCCCCCATCCCCGCCTCCCCCCCCCCCGCCTCCCATCCCAGCCTCCCCCCCCCCCGCCTCCCATCCAGCCTCCCCCCCCCGCCTCCCATCCAGCCTCCCCCCCGCCTCCCATCCCAGCCTCTCCCCTGCCTCCCATCCCCGCCTCTCCCCCGCCTCCCATCCCCGCCTCTCCCCCGCCTCCCATCCCAGCCTCCCCCCGACCCCATCATGCTGGTTGTCCCAGGGTCAGCCGGCCTGGCCCTGCCCCGCCACCAGGAGTCCTTGGAAGGAAGAAGGCCTGGTAGTGGTGTGGAAAGCTGGAGCTGGCGATCTTATTCCGGTGGTGTATTCAGGGCCTCATGACCCCGCTGTTCTGGGGGGGACCAGGAATCACGCTCTCCCCAGCTCACCGCAGTTGCCAGGCGCCGGCCTTTGGGGCACCGCGCTGTTGGAGCCGGGACGCCCGGTGGCGGGTGCGGGCGACAAGGGCGCAGGGCCTGCCGACCCCAGCGCCCACTGTCCCCCAGGAGAGGCCAGGACGGGCTGTGCTCCCGACCGCCCCTCAGCGCCCCTGCACCCCGGGGAGGTGCGGAGCTTCGTGTGCGCACGGCTGGCCGCAGACGTCCCGACAGCGTGGCCGGTGCGCACAGAGCACTCTGCATTTTCTTCCTCACCTGCGCGGGGTTTTACAGAGTGGTCCCCGGCGCACAGAGAGGCCGTGCCGATTGCCCATGACTACACAGCGGCCAGCGGAGAGCTGGGGTCTGACCCAGTGGGGCGGGCTTTACCCAAGAGCACCGGGCTGGCAGTGGAGGGACGGCCTCTCCCTCCTCCCCCTC